AATTTTGTGCGTTATTAGCGTGTGTGGCGCTGCAGTGGTAATTTTGTGCGTTATTAGCGTGTGTGGCGCTGCAGTGGTAATTTTGTGCGTTATTAGCGTGTGTGGCGTTGCAGCTGTAATTTTGTGCGTTATTAGCGTGTGTGGCGCTGCAGCGGTAATTTTGTGCGTTATTAGCGTGTGTGGCGCTGCAGCGGTAATTTTGTGTGTTATTAGCGTTATTTGCGTGTGCGGAGCTGCGGTTGTCATTTTGTGTGTTATTAGCATGAGTGGCGCTGCAGTTTAATTCCTCAGGAAAGTTTGCTCGTGTGAGTCAGTGTAGTGGGCGGAGCTTCAGATGATTATCTTCTTACCCCCCACCCCTTGCGCACCGCTCTGTTGTTAGGCAACCATTAATAAGAGTGAGCCGCAGCTTCACAAAGGATTGTGGGACTGTGGGGGTGTTGAGAGGTTCATTAAAAAGCAGCAGCACAGTCAACAAGAACGAGCGGCGCTCCTATCATCCGTACTGCTATCAGCCCAGAGTCTCTCTCTCTCTCTCTCTGCTCTTTTATTGTTTGGAAGTCCTTCCCTGTCCCTCCCTCCGCTGCCTGTCTCTCTCTCTGTGTCTATCAATATTTCATATGCCTCTTTCTCCTACGTGAGTGAGAAATGAATAAGAGGAAAGCGGATGTGTGAGGAATAATAGATTAGAGTCGAGCTGAGCGCTTCTTCATTTGTAGTTTAGCGTCTCACTGCACGACAGAAAATGCTAATGCTAGAAAACCTATCGCACTGTTCACACTGTCAGTACTCCATACTGCATACTAGATAGAAACTGCTGCATTCAGTCAGCTGCGAGCCATTACTGATGAGGCACTTTAGCAGCTTTGTGTTCTTGTCCGTACTTAAATTCACAATCATTTGTCTTGAACTTGCATACTAGAATGAAGCTGAACATCGGGAACATTTCATCATGGGATACCACGCATCGTTTGTACACTACACAAGTTTAAGGTATTCCATGCATAGAGAAAATGTAGTGCAGCAGATTATGTGACAGCGTAGTACAGTACATAGAGAGTACAGTACATAGGAGATGAGCACACACTAGAGTGCAGAGAGAGATGAGCAGCAGGCAGACAGACTCAAGAGTTTATTTTAATTCGCTTTATTCAGCATGTGAAAGAATTCTGATCCATCATCATCATCATCAAAACACTCGCTCACTATTAAAGTCTCATAGAGGTTTGTGTTCATATTGTCATACAAAAGGAGGAATTCTCTCATTATTATATACACAATCTGTACATGTTTTCACTTGAGAATCATTTCAGAGATGTAAATGACGTAAAAATTTCAGTAACATATCAAAGTGGATGTAGTTCTTATTCCATAGTGAAACAATTCACTCATTCAGCCCGCATCCTCTTGCACTGCAGTTACCATGGGAACAGCATTGTAACACCATGGCAGTGCCATAGCAACAAGAGTATTTAACATAGAAGTCAGAGTCTCGCACACGCACACGCACACGCACACCTGACGAGCGACGAATTCATCGATCGTGTGGAGAAAACAACAGATGGAGTTTGTACCGTAGCGATGTGAATAACAACAGGGCACTTCTTACCTGTAGAATACTTCAAACCAGCTATACTTACCTTAGAATAATGAGAATATAGTAGTCAACAGAACATTAAAAGTTGCTTATATATTGCGAATACACTAGAAAAATTATAACTACAGCTATGCGTAATAGGCGTATTCCTCTATGAGCACAAGAAAATGTGATTTTCAAGCATATAGAGCTCAAGCTATAAGCATGGGAGTCGTAGGGAACTCTGTGTATGTGTGTTTGAATCTAAACTAAATACGTTTTTAGGAAAACTCAAACATAGATTACTGCACTATAACGGGAACGCCGCCGGCTTCAACATACGAGAAGAAAACACCCTAAAACGCTTTGATATAATAATAATAATAATAATAGTAATGCCCTAAAAATAAAAAAAGTTTAAAGACGTGGTTAGAGTTACTCTAACTGCAGAAACAATACAAGAGGAGATGTAAGGTTATTCTGCGGCAGACCTAAAGCGAGGACGGGACCTCACAATAGCGTTACAATTAAAAACATCACACTCTAGCAGTTTACTAATCAGCTTTACAAAGTCAGTCAGTCCTTGGGAAGGGTTCAAAGCCCTGCTTCATATCATTAAACACACTCTGTGACGAATGCTGGAGATCTGTGTGTGTGTGTGTGTGTGTGTGTGTTTACTTAGCTACACTTTGAGGACAATTTGAGGCCGATTGTTCACTAAATCTGGCAAAACCACCTTGAAAGGTACAAATACATAAATAACGTAAATGCTCCTTTTTCAACATTTTAGGGTTTGTGTGAGTTTATAGCAATTATGTCCTCATTTACATAGCTACGCAAACCTGTGTGTGTGTGTGTGTGAGAGAGAGAGAGAGAGAACCTGGAAACCTTCTCCAGCAGGCGACCAGACATCTAAACACAATTTAAGAGAAACTTAGCAAGGAGTAATCGGTACACTAATCGAGTAAACTAAACATGTCCACGACAGCACTGCTCAGCTCTGTTACGCTGCAAAGGTAAATCCTTAAAATGAAGCCGGTTAGGAGGCGGTAAACTATCAGAATTAAGTAATAAACATGGATTTAAAAAGCAAACGATCGCTTAAAATATCACTTATCATGAGTTATAATGCTTTTGCTAAATTTTGCATATTTTATGTTTTTGTTATTTTGTTCTGTTTTTATCTTTATTTTGGTTATACTTGAAAAAGCTATATTAAAGGTAGACCTTGTCGGCTTATATAAAGAGAAATGTATTTACAACCAAAACAAAGAGAGGGGTTGATACTGTCATTTCATCTCCCTCGTTTCTCAGCTTCTGAGCGAGAGTCACGTGAGCGTAACCGAAGGCGTATCAACACAATTTCTCGTTGGATATGAAATATCACGGCAGTAGAGACTAGAATATAAATGACGGCATAAAACAGAGTCTTGTGCACTTTCACGAATGCACGCGTGTTTCACGGCCGTAAACAGCATGGGATAGGCTGTTGCCATGGATGCGTTACGTTGATGCGGAGACTGGATTGATCGTCACATTCAAAAATCCCTAACGCTCAGCAAAGGCCTCAGGAAAACGACAGACAAATGAAACCCAATTTCAACAACAGATCACCAGTCAGCAGTGTCTTCACAGCGCCTCTGAGGTACAGTTATTACCCTGTTTCAAAAAAAAAAAATCAATGAGCATTTATTATGCTTTCATGATTGTATCTTCACAAAAGACAAGAGTACAGGACTGGGCTGTTCTGGTGGCCATCTGACGTGGCAGATGGATGTGCTCTCATTCTTCTCACTAGCTCGTGGAGATGAACCCAACGGTGCAAGCGTGAACTTCACAGGAAATGACATTTTCAGTTCTCTCGAGTTCTGCGTGTCCTGCTAAGATCTGGACTCGTTCTCACACGTCAGACTCTATGCTAGAGAGCTTCTCGTACACGTGTCCGTTGCTGCCGGTGAACGGCCGAGGCGGGCTGAGGCTGAGCTTGCTGGTGTGGTGGTTCCCCATGCACAGCTCCGCAGGGAAGGCCATGGGGCTGAGCAAATCCCCGTGCTGCGACTGCTGCTGGGTGACGTAGTAGGACTTGGCACCGTGCAGCAGACACTGGTCGTCTCCGAACGTAGGGATGAATGGGTTGTGGTCGGTTCGGTCGGGATAGAGGGATTTAGATAAAGCGTGAACAGGCCCCTCCAGGAGTCCTCTGTCTCTCAAATCCCTCTCTCCCACCGAGCGCCGATGGGGCGCGTTCTGCAACCCAAACGGCGATCCTGCGCCCCTCTCGTAGAACAGCGGGTCTCGCTCCGTGTCCTGCTCGGGACACTCGAATATGTGTGCGAAGGAGGCGTCCATGCAGCGCTCCCGCTCCTTGAGGCTGATGCTGCGCGGCGGCGGTGCTGCACATAACATAGGCAGTGCGCCCATCCCAGTTAACTCTTCTCTCTGCAGGTCTACGAATGCGTCGTAGGAGTGTTGCCGGCGTAGCGGCTTCCCGCTGAAAGCCCTGCGGCGCTGCGCCGGCGTCTGGCCTCTACTGCCTCCCAGTTGCTCCAGCAGGTGGTTACTGTCCTCGCTGATGTCGTACAGGTTTCCGGACTTCTTGCAGGCTTCGCAACGCATGCAAGTGGCAGAACTGGGACGGCTGCTTCCGACTCTTCCTGCGGCTCCCGATGCCACGCAGCCGCTTCCGACGTGCAGAACTCCAGCTCCGTGTTTGCTGCCTGCGCTGCTGGCCCGACAGCTGCGACATTCCCGGTCGCCGCTCTCCGGTTTCTTGGGTTTGCTCTTTAGGAAGTCATCTACAGACAGCAAACTGGTGCAGTTGCCTCCTGCTCCGCCGCCACCGCCGGGGCCATCGGTGAGATCCACATGCTCCCACTGTGGGATGCCTTTCTTTGGCCGGAACTGATCCAGGTAGAAATCCCTCAAGCTTTCCTTGTCCTGTAGCAGATATGAGGTCGAGCTCACACCTCGTTTGCGCTCGGATGGAGGCGAAGCCGAGCGGTGCCCGTGGTGGTGGTGGTGATGCTGGCGGCGGCGGTAACCCAGCTCAATCTCGTCGAGTTCCCTGCGGGACTTTGCCGACGCCGGACGCTTCTTCAAGCTGTCTCTATACTGCTTGCGTTTCTTAGCATTGCCCTCCAGATTGCCGTAGGTGACGGTATGAGTGGAAATGTCAGACACGTCAGAGCGGATGTTTCCGTCGTCGGCTCCGCCGCAGAACCGGTCGTGCCCTGCGATGTATCCCGAACTGGAAGCTCCACCTTTAAAGGAGAACTTCCCGTACAGGTCGGCCAGTCCCTGCTTCAATCCCAGCCCAGACGGAGGAGTCTGGCTCTGCAGCAGATCGAATTTACTCATGTTCCTGTGCGTTAGTGCAGAGCGTGGCTGTGTGGTGAAGACGGGGGCTGCGCCGCCGCCAAGGCTGTCGCAGTCAAACATGCCGCCCTCCAGAGAACTGCTGGAGCCCAGGCTGTGGGGCCGGTTGGGGCCCGTCAGCCCCAGCGTGGAGCCCCCGTGGTGGTGCAAGTAGTGGTCCTGGTACAGGTTGCTGTCCTTCAGGTGCAGGTTGCCGAAGGTGCGCTCCACCTCGCTGATGTAGTCGCTGAACATGTTGTCGTCGGGCAGGTAGGGGGCCTTGCAGTCCGAGTGTCCGGCCAGGCTGCGGCGGTGCTCGCTGGTGTCATACACGGAGGACTCTCGGCGGATGAAGTCCAGCGCGCTGTGCGGGGAGCCGTTGACCCCGGAGAGGGATGCCATGTTCTTGGCGGTGCGCAGCAGACGCAGGATATTCGAGTGCGTGTTGTTCATGGTAGCCGAGGGCGAATTGAGCGCTGAACTCTTATCTTCGATTTCTACTCCGTGAATGCAGCTGTAAATCTCCTGAGAGAGGAAGAGAGAGACCTTTCAGTGTTCAGACAGCCTCTTGAAACTGTATTGTGCACTACTCCGAAGTAGGGCTGGACGATATGGCCAAAATGTACACTACCAGTCACAAGTTTTTGAACAGTAAGATTTTTAATGTTTTTTAAATAAGTCTTTTCTGCTCACCAAAGCCTGCATTTATTTGATCCAAAGTACAGCAAAAACAGTAATATTGTGAAATATTTTTACTATTTAGAAAAACTGTTTTCTATGTGAATATCTGTTAAACTGTAATTTATTTCTGTGATCAAAGTACTCCAGTACTCCAGTCTTCAGTGTCACATGATCTTCAGAAATAATTTAAATATGATGATTTGCCAATTATCAATATTTAAAACAGTTGAGTACATTTTTTTCAGGATTCTTTGATGAATAGAAAGATGCAAATATCAGCATTTATCTGAAATAAAAAGCTTTTGTAACATTATACACTATTCCATTCAAAAGCTTGGAGTCAGTATAAATTTTTTTTTTTTTTGAGGGGAAAGAAATTATATAAATTAATACTTTTATTTAGCAAGGATGCTTTAAATTGATCAAAAGTGATGATAAAGACATTTATAATGTTACAAAAGATTTCTATTTCAGATAAATGCTGTTCTTCTGAACTTTCTATTCATCAAAGAAACCTGAAAAAAATCTACTCTGCTGTTTTCAACATAATAATAATAATAAATATTTTTTGAGCAGCAAATCGGAATATTAGAATGATTTCTGAAGGATCATGTGACTGGAGTAATGATGCTGAAATTTCAGCTTTGATCACAGAATAAATTACATTCTATATCACAATATTTCTATAATATTTTAGAAATAAAAACGGCGCAAATAAATGAATGATCACCATATATTTATTTATTACTCTCAGACTCACCTTATTAATAGTGATAACGATAACATAGGCTGATTATTCTTATAGATTGAAACAAAAGTGCTTCAGCCAGGACGAGAAAAAAAAGAACATGAAAAGGCTTGCTGCAGAAAACAGAAAAAGAGTAAGCAACAACAAAAACATGTTGCTGGAGACGGTCTTATTGAAATTGCATATTGATTTAAATATGGGAAATGTGTTTAAAAATCATATCACCGTAACTGAAAGTAATTGTATGGCGATATATATTGATACTGAATGATTGTCCAGCCCTACTGCGACGCTGTGTTTTTCTGAGGTGTGTCTGTGGGGACAGAATTACCCTGCTGAGGGTGAAGGTGAGCCCTGGTTTCCCAGAACACACGCCCATGAAGCAGAAGCGCAGGTGCCAGTAGAAGACGTGCTCAGCGATGAAGGTGATGAGAGACAGAGCCATGGCAGCACCCAGCATGTAGAACACACCCGCCATATTGTCCACATCCAGCTGACTGCTCATCACTTCATTCTTCTCGTGGTGGCAGATCCCGGTGAGCCAGAGCGCCTCAAACTCCTCCATATCACCTGAGACACACACACACACACGTTATAAAGGGTGATGAAATGCTCCTACACACTGGGTCTGTTACAACAATGAGTTTGGTTTGTATTTGAAACAAAGGCTGAGGTAATTCAAAGCTGCTGGGTTATTATGACTAGTGAGCAAGCTGACAGATGACTGTTCATCTGATGTGAATGGCTCAACATGAGCAGTACCGTCTCCAAAGAGCTGCAGGATGGCGAGGTCCACCTGTCTTTTCCAGCCCGACTCTTTCTGGATGGCGATGCCATAGCCGGTGGAAGCGAACACTTTCCCAGAGCCGATGGTGACCAGCTTACAGCCCTCATCTCTGCCCGCCATGTAGTTCAGCACCGCCGCGTCGTAGATGAAGGCATCCAGCTTCCTGCCATTCAAGACACCACATGCATTCAGAACACGCACAGAATGATGTCTTCATGAACACTTCATTTTAATGACCGCTATGAATTAGTTGCATAGTGGCCATTTTTAGTACTTCTAAAACACGCAAAATGAGTGTGAATGCGCAAGGGCTAATTTTGAGCTACACGCACAAATATAGTGAAAAAAAAATGTAAATTTTAGTCAAATTTGAGGTTTTCATAAAAACGAGCTCATTAAGCCCTCGACTAGCGATCCCAATGTTCCAAATAGTAATGAAACATCTATAATGATCTTTTTGTACGTTTTCCGTGAGGAGTACCTTTTCTCCAATCGCTTCTCGACAGCATAGCAACACCCTAGCAACTTCTCCCAGGTACTCTAGCAACTCCTTAGCAACCACCCTGGGTACCCTGGCAACCACATAGCAACACCTTAGCAACCACACAGAGTACCTTAGCAACTGCCACCCAGGGTACCCTAGCAACCGCATAGCAACACCCTTGCTACCACCCCAGGTACCATAACAACCAACCTAGCAACCACCCCGAGTATTTAGTCATTTAGCAAATGCTTTTATCCAAAGCGACTTACAAATGAGGACAATGGAAGCAATCAAAATCAACAAAAGAGCAATGATATGCAAGTGCTATAACAAGTCTCAGTTAGCTTAACGCAGTACACATAGCAAGGTTTTTTAAAAATTATATAATAAATAAAAAGAAAACAGCTAGAATAGAAAAAGATTAGAGAAGCTAGTGTTATTTTTTTAAAGAAAACAAGCAGTTAGTAAATGAATAGAGTGCAGGACTAATTTAAGCTTCCATTCTAATTTACACATATACACAGAATTACTGTATTTAAGTATTCACGCAAACATAATCCTGTTCTGTCTTAAGTGAACGTTTGGGGGAAAACATCTGATGTGTAACATTATATTAGACCCGAGCATTACAGTAGGACTTACTATACAGGCCGTTTGTGGCATTAATATTAATCTAACGATAAAAGAAAAGACGGAACCACTCGCTGCTCTTAATTGAACTGCTTTTGTAGGTATGATAATCAATTTATTTGTAATAAACACATCAAAGTCATTTTTACATTTGATTATTTGTATTTCTTACTTGAATGCTTTTGTTTAGATGTAGGCCTAAAATAAAAAAGGTAATGCATTATTTGTTTCTTTCTTATATTTGTTCTACTGTTTTTTTGCATGTGTTCTAATAAAGATAAGATAAAACAAAAAAACAGCTACATTGTAACTATTAATACAGTAATTATTATTAAGAAAAGAAGTGGAGGAAAAGACTAAACGTTGCTCTGTGATTTGCTTTGGAATCTTCAGAAAACTTTAACTAGATTTTTCTCAGAATTGACTTTGCTGACTCCATCAACTTCAAACAGCTGTAGCTCTGTCAGATTCCAACAGATCACACATCATCATATTGAAGGTATTCTAATGGAGGATGTGAAAATAAAAACAACTCATTTTTGAAAATGTGCTCATTGTGACTCATCTTACCAGCACTTGTCTTATTCTGCACGATCATATCGTAGATCCCTTCATCCTCACACCTGATCTTAACCGCTACTAACTATTAATAAGCAGCAAGCTAGGAGTTTATTGAGGGAGATCTCTTAAAGTGTTGCCATTTTGATTAATGACTGATCGAGAGGCACGTCAGAGAAGCGTCTCACCCTGATTTCAGACTGTACAGCGCTTCATTCACGTTGCGCTGGTGGAATTTGACCATGTAGGAGTGCATCTCTCTGTAGTTATTGCGGATGTTTCTCTCGGTGCTGCCGTTGGGCACCGTCCCGAAGCGAAACGGCGGGGAGAAGTCGTTGGGTCTCTGAAACTGAGGACAAACCAACAGCACAACGGTGGGCGGACAGACAGACTGACCAGAAATCAGAATATCCACTCTACCTGAAGAAGTACTGCTGTATCGTCTATTAGAGCACCTTTTTGTCGCTGAGGCCCGACACCTGGTCCACGTACTCTTCCTGGATCATAAACGCGGCCAGGTTAGCAGTATAGCTGGCCAAGAAAATCACAGCAAAGAAGGCCCAGACGGACACCATGATCTTGCTGGTGGTTCCTCTGGGGTTCTGCACTGGCACGGAGTTATTGAAGACCAAACCCCAGAGCAGCCAGATGGCCTTTCCGACGGTGAACGACGGACCTCCGGCCTCTGAGAGCACAGAAGCACAACACAAGTGACTCCACCAATGGAAAGGCTGTGTGACATGAGTCATGAGCAAAACTACAGAAGAACTGCATGGCATTAAAGTTTGGAAATTACGATCAATAATTAATGGCTCCCAGGATGCATCACTCTGTACCTCTGCCATCGATGAGACGGCGATTGTAGCCCACGGGACTGAAGTATTCGAAGATGAACACGGCGATGGCACAAACCAGCAGCAGCATGACGAACATCATGATCCAGACGTCTGCGCTGAACGGCTCTGTGGACGGAGAACAGACACACATGTTAACAGATACAGACAGCGGAGAGCAAGAGACGGACAGAGGAGAGCGGCTCACCGAGGAATGCAGACGGAGACACGGTGCCGTTGCTCCGAGACACCATGACACTGATGCCCGTCTCTATGAAGGGCACGGAGAAATCAATGACCTCTGACCTCTCCTCATTGATGGTCAGCGAGCCGACGGCCATGTGAGCGTTCTTCAGCACCACCTGCAGACAGACAGACAGGTTAGAAATGGACAAACAGACAGGTGAGAGACAGACAGACAGACAGACAGACAGGTGAGAGACAGACAGGTTAGAGATGGACAGACAGACAGACAGGTGAGAGACAGACAGACAGGTGAGAGACAGACAGACAGACAGACAGACAG